ACTGAGGGTATTGAAGTTCATAAATTTGAGTTCCTATCTGGATTAGCCACATCTCCACATCTCGTCCGATATAATTATTGGAACACATGTGGCAGCAAGTTCTCTTTCCTGATTTTTATTCTTCACTTTGCGAAGTGCTCTTAATGCGGAAAAGGCTGACTAGTTATCACCTGTGTTTGGAAGTGTGAAAAAGTTTTTATTCACACTGCCCAAAGTATAGTAGTACCCATTCCTTGCTTACCCAGAGTATTCTGTTGCGTTTAACCAGAACATCATTTTCAAATTCACCACTTTTTGAACTGAACAACGGAATCGCCAGCTCGGCAGAAAAAGTCATCTTCATTTTTGGTGTAGACAGTATTAGACCAGAACATCCCAAAGCTGGCCCCATGGGCCAAAGTTGATCCACCATAAGGAGGTATTTATTTATGCTGTTTTATTTCTTGTGAGGTAAAAATTCTATATATAGGATTCCTAATTGTTATATTTTTTCATAATCTGAGCATGGTGGACAGAGTGACACTTTGCAACAGAAGTCAGTCAATTAAGGGAACTTGGGTTCCCAGTTTTGCATCTTAACGCTATAGAATAGACATTTGCTTTTGGCCCTTGGCCCACCATTAAGTCCCAGTTTTGGCTGTCCAAGTGAAAAAGTTTGGGCACCCCTGGTATCAACTGTTGTTATGACTGGATCACATGTAAACCAGAATGGCAAATGTAGCAATGTTCAGATATTTCTTCATGTTTAAGGCTAACATTTTTCAATTTTGCTGTAACATTGAAACAGTGACATCTTCGAGCTTCATATATGTGAATGAGTCCAAGACCTGGAGTGAGGCTCAGAGCTACTGCAGGGAGCACTACACTGACCTGGCCAGTGTGAGGAACCAAGCTGAGAATGACAAGATAGAGAATATGAACCAGAACCAAAGCGCGTGGATCGGCCTCTACAGAGACTCATGGAAGTGGTCAGATGGGAGCCCCACTTCCTTCACATATTGGAATAATAATGAACCAAATGGTGATTATACCTGTGCGCTTATACACAATGGCCGATGGGAAGACTACGACTGTGATATAACATTATACTTTGTCTGTGAAATAGGTGAGCTTTAATTCAATACTTCACTGAATAGTACAGTACTACGTATGGGTGAAAAAAACATTTTTAATTGCTTATTCCCTTCTTTTAAAAGTGCCAGTGAAGCAGCAGGTGGTGAGGGTGAAAGTAACTAAACAGGAGTCCTCTGTGAACCTTGAGGATGCAGCGGAAGCCATCTTGAAGCAGGTAATAATGATGAGTTTTGTACGTAAAGATTATTGAACATAGCTTATCATAGTACATAACAGGAAAGGAGGAAGTTGACTGTGGTTCTGACTGAGGCTTACTACATTTTAATTCGAGCACAGAGCAAAAAGGGGCGGGACTTAGGAAGGGTCAATCAAGAGCATAACAACTGGTGGTTTTATCTGATAAGGCCAAGTACAGTATGGATTGGTTCATGGCCATGTCTGTGTGCATAATGTGATAGGTTTATGAAGTGTATGAAAATACAGCACACAAAATAATTATAATAATAAAATATTAAAATGAAGGAGAAAAAAAGAAACAATGTGAACAATGACATTGAAATAAGAATTATCAGTTATATAAAACTATATTAGATCTATGCTTGAACCTAAGTTCTTCTTCTTCTAACCCAGTTGCTCAAAGATATATTTGTTTAATAATATATATTTTAAATGCTTAATATCAGTCAGTAGGTGGCACTGTAGGACACACAATGCAATCTGGTCAGTCAACCAAAGACTAGAGGATTTTATGTAGCATGTCAGTGACGTGCAGTGGAAATGACATGCCCTTCTTGTAATGTTTGTAATAAAGACTAAATGAAGAAAGTTTGTGTTTCTCAGTTGACTCAGACACTGAAGGACCACGGCCTGAGTGAGGACATAAAGCTGACATGGAGGAAGCAGCCGGATGGAAAGATCTTCTACTTGGAAGAAAAGGAAGAGAACAAGCAGAAGATGCTAACTTAAATGATATTTCTTTTTTATTTTCTTTTTTATTTTCTGTTAGATTTTCAGTCAGTTCAGAGATACCACTTGTCTAACTGACTTTTCATTCTCTACTAAGACAGGACACCTTTCATATTAATTACATTATTACACATTTCTACATGAGCGACTCCCCATTGTGTTCTGGTAAATGTTTAGAGTGGTGTTCAGGTCAGGTCATTTTCCCATTTTATTAACGTTTTTACATTAAATCATTGTTAATTAAATATATATTTGTAATTACAAGGCAGGTTAATTGAATGTTAAGAGAACAGTAACAGATACAAGAGCTCAGCTAACTGTGAGGTTTACTCCCTCTTTGGGAATGTCTTGGTTTAGTATTTAGTGTCTGTTTTGTGTTAAGTTGCTATTGGGTCATTCTTCCTGCCATGAAATTCACTGACTTTTCCTGATTTAGGGTCATGACCTTAGGTATAACCTATGTGTTGTGGATGTACTGTATAAATACAGCGATGATTTGCCTTTGTTGTTATGGCTGCTTTAATCCTGGTTCTGTTTGGCCTGTCAGGGTAAAGGTGAGCTGTTGCCAAAGACCGACGCTAAAAAGCTCCAATAGACCGAAGGCTGAAACATGCTCTTGAACATCCGCAGACATAAAAAGAGGGAACTTCGTTCAGAGAACTAAACAAATTTAGTTTTTCTAATTAGCATATGGTATTTAACCCAGTTGTTAGCACGCTTACACGTCAAACTAAGACAGTGAACATGCTAATCCATATTTCTACTTTGCATCAGAATGTTAGCATTGTCATTGTCATTTAGCATGTAGCTCAAAGCACCACTGTGCCTAAACACAGAGCTGCTAGCATGGCTCTAGCCTCTTAGTCTTGTTTTCTTTTGAAACCGGTCTCCTAACAGGGGTTGGATCATCCTTGGTACATCATTGCCATGTTCTTAGGAAATTAAATGTGTTAAGTTTT